TTCTCGCCATGTGACTCTCCTTAGGCACACTCTACATCATCGATCACTTTCCTCATGACAATAGTATTAATAGCTAACAATGTGTACAGTAGTCTGTGCCAAGTATTAGGCTAAGTGCTTTGCTTATATAATCCTTAGAGTTGGGCTACTGGCACTACTATGAACATTTTACAGATGAAAAAACCAAACTGGGCTAGGGAGATAGCTCAAAGGCTTAAGCGCCTACGTGGTAAGTGCAAGGTCCTGAGTTCAATCCTTGGTACAAAATAAATAAATAAACAAATAAACAAACAAACCAACCTGAAATGACTTGACTTGCCTAAGTGAACTGATCATAGCTTTTTTGTTTTGTACACATACTTTTCTGTGTAATGCAGAATTTGGTCTCTGCTCTCTCTTTGGTTATGGCCAAGTTAAACTAGTCTGCATTTTTATCAGCTCTGAAATAAGATTAGTTCACATTAGCCCTGTAGCCTGTGAGCAGGCAAGTGAGCTGCAAAAGCTGGATATCATCTCATGGGTTCATCATTAACTTATAGGAGGCAACTTTGCAGCTTAAACAATGTACATGGTAACAATAAGTACTGTATTTTATAGGGAACAATGTGTGTTCATTAAATGTGACAAGAGATGAGAGCAAGCAAGAATAAAAATGTAAGAAATTTCAGGGACAAGTTGCAGGTGTTACTTGCGAGCATAAATACTGAGGATATGGTACTGTTCAATCCAGAAAGAGGCATGTTTCTTATATGCATAAGGAGGGAAGGTGAAGAAACAAATTGAATAAGATCGCTTTTGACAAGACAACAAAAGGCAACATAGATGTTGAGGGGTATTGAAGCAATATTAAGCTTTGGCGCTTACAGAAAATACTGTATACCACCAGCCCCTAGGGATGTCTGACAGGAAGTCTGGTGAAAATAGGAAGAAAACTGAGAAGGCCCATATTTTCTGTCAAATATAGTAACCATCTTTTATTTATTAATTGCCATTCAGGAGATTATATTAGAGACCAAACTGAAAGCAGTCATATCAACCTTTAGCAAAAATTTCAAAGAGGTTGAGGGTGAATAAATCATCTGAGATATAAGGCATGTTATCTAGCACACCTGACGCTCACGAAGAAGTCCTGTCTGGGAAGAAATAAACACACTGCTACTCATTCTGAGCAAACTGAACAGTCAGAAGTCATGGATTGGGTAGGACTAATAGAGCCAACAATTAATTCAGCTTAAATAAATACAAGTTCCAAATTAGAAGCTTCAACTAATGTTGGGAAAACCGTACTTCTCAGTGCGACTGCATGTAATTCACAATGAAAATAAAAGCGAAAAGGGAGTGACATTGTAGGGTATAATTTAAGATGGACTTCAAGGTTGGAAAATATATATATCAAACAGGAAGTGGTTATGGAAGAGACCTGAGAGTGGAGAAGAGAACCTGAAATCAGGCAGGCTTTTCTTTATAAGGATTTGGAAGTGGACAGACAGGACTGGATGCCCTCGAGCAAGGGGACTGTGACACAGACCTTCCCGGGCCCAACATGTTCTTAAGTTTCAGAGGATTTTGACAGTAAATCAAAGCAACCAGCTCCAGGAGGGATTATTTTGTCAATGGGGGCAGCAGTGTTAATTCTAGCAAAACACTTGGAATAAAGTCCCCTCATCATGTTAAGATTGTGTGGAGAACCAGAAGCTGTCGTATTTAATCCGTTCTCTCTACTCTGATTCTAATCCATCTGGGTGTAGGCTGACAATGGGTACAAAATTTTATAGCTGCTACAATGTGCACATTCTCTTTCTATTTCTAGCATCACAAATACACTTTCCCAGGCTCCCTCTAAGCATAGAGGGCTGCTTTGGGGGAACACTATTAAAGTTAGCAATTTATCAGTCCAAAACTGCAATTATTTGATTCCAGTGAAGTCATTCCAAAATATGATGACTTCAAATTACATTTGTGGCTGGTATAGTATTGGCTATGGCTAATTTTTTTTTTTTTTTTTGTATTTTAGGGAAGGGTTTACAGGGTGTTCAGGATCTCACTACCAGATTGGACTGGTAGTGATCCGCCTATTTACAGCTTCCCAAGAGCTGGGATTACAGGCAAGTGCCCCAAGCTCAGACTTAATTACAGTCTCAGCACACCCTGGGGGTGGGGAAGGCATGGCAGGCCCCAGGAATTGAACCCCCAGCCCGTGCCTGCTTGCAGGCGATTTAATCTGCTAACCAATTTGGCCAGCCCTGGCTATGGCTAATTTTACGAAACAGTTTTGAGAGTGGCCTGAGAATACGATACATAACCATCATGGGATGGACCTTGTCCAGACTGTGTGTCCCATTCTGAGCACTAACAGAAGTAATGTGATCTGCATATGACTGTTTAATGATTTCCAGGCCAGCTCAGGTGAGTTGCAAATACCATGGAATAAACCTTTGCCCAAACTTTATCAGAAAAGCTTTCTTTCTGTGATCGATGATGTAGAGTGTGCCTAAGGAGAGTCACATGGAGAGAAAACATTCTCTCAGGCTTTCACAGAGAGCAAATTAGTCAAGCAATGGCCATGACTCATCCATATGGCTGACACTGACAAAGGATCTACAAACTGTGGTACAGGGTTTCAGGATAAATCCTGAGGGGATTTCACTGACCTTGT